ACGTTCCGAAATTCGTAACGTAACACAATGGTTCTCGCATTCACCAACCGCTAATTAGGTCATTTTGGCAAGCAAGGTCCGAACACCAGTCTCGAGACGCTGAAAAAAGCCGTTTTCCGCAAGGAGACCAAAATACTTGTAAATCATATTCGGGCAGCTTGCGATTCGTTTTTGTCTCGTCAAGGTCATAGTCAAGGCAAACGGTGGTCATATCGAGCAAAAGTATATTGTTTTCGAATTTTATATTATTTTCACACATTAGGTACTTGAAAATGATTAAAAGCAACTTACCAAATAATGAACTGTTAAGCTGATGAGCTTAAACTTTCCAGCCGCTGTTTTCCAAATAGTTTTCAGCCAATGAGTTCGAGCATTGTCATGACGGAAAATTATTGTCTCGTGTGTGCTCGCGAATATCGGATGTGTTTCAGCAATTGCTGGTCTCAATGGTTATTATCTTTAACGAAGAGTTGACTGTAGCATTTCCCAGTAATAGTTTCACCCGGTTGTAGCAGCTCATAATACAGCACGCTCTACTGACCTAAACCAAATATAGAGCATTACATCGTCGGCGTGAAGATTCGACTTTGCCTTTTATTTGGCTGGTTGGCCATGTTTCGCATATGACTTTTCGTGCTTAGATATGTCTAAATGAAATAATTTTTCATCAATTGGCGCAATGTGATGGAAAAACGACTTTTTTTTGTAACGCTTAAGCAGCATTTCGTCATCCGATTTCTGCTTTTAAAATATTTGAAACTGACACTTAAGGGGTTACATACCTAGTCTTGAAGGCCAAAAAAAAGCTTATTTTCTCTATTTTTTTAGAAGATACTAAATAAAGAATACAATTTATTTTGTTCACATATATAATATAAAGAACAATATGTGGCCAACGTTTTAATGAAAATTTTAATGAAAAATAGTATAAGTTAAGGCGTTAGCAGTGTCGTGTAGTAAACCGTCCACAAGAAAGTGCTTTGTCGTTAGTCATGAGAACTTTTTCAATTTTTATCTGAAACCAAAAATCCAAATTTTCTCTTAAAGTAGGTGAATTTTCCTTTTCCCTAAACGAAAAAAAATTAAAAATTTAATTTTTTGTAGCGGTTTTTTTTTTACAAAAACCGTAATTTATTGCATAAAATTAGGCCACATATTGGCTTGTAAAATGAGTTGAAATCAAAGATAAAATAAATCCTTCGTTCAGAGACTACAAATGCTTAAAAGACCTATGTAATCCTTTTAATGTCTCTTAAAACATCTGCGAGCTTTTCTCGTGCTTGGCAAAAATTTTTTCTGAGTAAAGCTTCCTGTTCATCATCTTCGAACATTTATGGCTGAATAAGACATTATTCTTCTTCAATATCAGCACTTAAAATTCAACTGCTGACACTGAACATGTTCACCTTAAAATTCCATCCAAATATAATATGAAGAATTAGGACAAATGCCAGTAGTTTTTTATGTTTGGAATATTGGAACGATGGAATCATAATCGAGTTTACCATCCCGTTAAGATCATCTAGATACTTTAGGCCCCTTGCATTGGGCTCGTTCAGAACAAACTTTGAAATGCACGACCCTTTTAGATCTCTGTGTAACGATTTTAATACACATTTCCCCAACATTGATTCCTCTGACTCGCTTTTCTGTATCAAAATCTACTTACAAATAGTTAAATAGTTAAATAAATTCCTTCTTCTTTTCCCCATGCAATTTTATAACAGCTGATGAACAAATCGGTAGCTGTTTAGTGTAAGAGGCAATTGTAACCGCGACCTTCCGCGATTGGTTTCGGGTTCAGGACAGACCGGACTGTTACTGGTTTTCGGTCATCGGTCTGTTGGATTTTTCGATTTCCCTTAGACGTGACCTTAGACGTGCCCTTTGGCCGGTTGGGCGCGAGGTGGGTAACGTCGCGTTCGTCGTAAAAAAAGTTGGACCATCTCCTGGTAAATCGCATGAATTATATTATAGACCCAATACCAAATAACCGTTTTGGGTGCTTCTTTATAACATTGAAACGATTTCAATGAATTCAAACAAATTTTCACCCCATTTTTGGGCTCGAATTGGGGAATTGGGGCATTAGTAAAAAAGCACTCTGACAAAAAATGTATTTAAAGCAACGCAACTTCTGAAATCTATGTAAGGATCATCTTTAAGTAAATTTACTAATTAAAAAAATTAAAAAAAAAATCAATTGAAATTATATTAATTATTCCGGCAGTGAAAGGAGTATATCTTAACAGAGAAAATTTTTCCTCAATAAAAATATTCTCTTCATTAGCTTCCTAGCTCTTCATCACTCTGCTCGTAGTACACAATTTTTCTTATCTGGAAACCAATATCAACTGCACGATAAAGTCCTTATAGCCAGAACTGCGAGACTTTTCGTTTGTCTGAGCAAAATGTGTTTGCTTTACAAAAGTTGCGCTGAAAATCAAACATTTGTTATGAACTATATCCCGACTGCTTTGGCGCTTAGCAAGTGGATGCCTTAATAAAATACAACAGATAAAAATGACTGTGGAAGGAAGTAAGCCCCAATGGGTCAATCAACTGAGCAAGTATCCGTAAAATAATAAATATGCATACATATATACATATACAAACAGAAAAGTAGCAAATTGAGCTGCGATGATGATAAGCATAAAATTCAGACATAAAATTAGGCCAAAGTAAATAAAAACTGTGGAAATAGGCAAGACATGTTTGACGAGCTGCAAATTAAGGTTATAAATACAGAACAACAACAAATACGCATAATTTTGTTGTGCTAAGTACACGAAAGATTGGCAAAAATTCATTACATTTTCATTTGTCTGTATGTTAGTGTAAACACATAGTGTTTTGTATGTACAACGCAGCGGGTCTCAGCACTCTGACCTCAACGTAAGAAATATTTATGAACATATACATAGAAGAAAGCCAACGCAAATCCTACTTTGCACCACCGGAGAAATGAAAAAAAATAAATAAATAAATAAAAGTACTAGTACAAATAGAATCAATTCTTTTGCATCTGTATGCGTGTGTGAGTCTCTTCCTGCGTAATCTGAAGGCAAATTGCAAATAACAATAAATGAGTACCCAAGTCGGAAAGTAGAGCAATTTCATGCACACACACGCACACACACACACATGCATACACATGAATGACATAAAAGTGAGAACACACCCAGAGCACAGACAAGGTTACAACGCCTTAACATATGCTAAGCCCGTTTGTAAGCACCAGCGTCATATACATGCATACACGTATATGTTTGTGAGTGCGTGTGCATGTTGTTTTTGTCGCTTGCATGCCGATCAAGCCGCCTGCTGGGTTTAATTAAGAGCAAAACAACATAACCAAATACGAACGACGGGATACGGAGGAAATGCTTGAATGGCACAAGTAAGGTAGACTAAGATCCAACGGTAGGGGTCATTAGTTATCCGGCTGTCAGTAAGAAATTAGATGATTGAGTAGTGCATTAAATACAGTTGAGTGGAAAATTTTTATAAAATCAAACATTGTGTGACATGAAATTTTGACAATTTGAACCCAAAAACCTCATATCTGTAGAAATTGGTTAGCTCGCTTGTGTCGATAAGGAGTGACGCTACGAATGAAAGCAACAGAAATTGTTTTTGCTTAAATTCTATTCGTAGTTGGTGAAATTTCTAAAATTATGCAATTGATAAAATCAAAAAAATAAAATTGCTATTTTGCTTTTAGACTAAGACCAGCTGACCATTCACAGCGCCGCACATATGTACCCACTCGACAACAACAACAAGTGGAGGACGGCGAGTATTCGAACAAAATTTTCTTCAGCTACAAAACACATTTCCCACTTGGGGGATACGTAAATAAGCAAATAGTTTAAGAGAGAGCTTTAAACTTACAAAACTTACTGTCTCGTGCGGTCTTTGGGCAGGAATTGTGAGCGACACTGTAACAATCAGTTCGGAGTAATATTCAGGGGCGTATTATAACCGATTTTTTTTTTGCCTGCAATTGAAGAGCACGACTTAAAGAAAATGTGGTTTCAACAAGATGGGGACACATGTCACAAGCCGAGCCACGTGATTTTATTGCGAGAGGAATTTTCCAGCTCTTAATCTGCCGGTTTGGCAATGTGAATTGTTCACCAAGACCATGCAATTTTGCATCGTTTGACTTTCTGTGTGATGCTACGCTAAAGACTGTGTTATAATATTTATAATGCCAAGGTTAAAAATTTATAATAAAAAAGAAATTTTGATTAAAAAAAAAATATTGCTATTGATTAACGTTTATTTTTAATCCCAAAATATGGTTTGCAATGTACATGCATTCAAAATTATTCCCACCCATAAGAGCAGTGTTCTTTATATCGTATGTACGCTTTTACCAGAAACGAAAAGCTGTCGTTAATGTTAAATCGTTAACATCGAAGTGTACTGTTAAATCACAGCAAACAGCCATATTAAAATTAACATTAACGATGAGTTTGTGCGGTTTCAATGTGAACGATTTAATTTTGTTTGATAACGAAACGAAACGATTTCATTTCGTGGAGTAAACTTTTTTTTTGTTAGCAAAACGAGATGACTCTGGCTTAGTGTATTTAAGTGAATATAAATTTTGATTTAAAACTAAATTTAAGGGCTATTAATATTACAATAGAAGAAGTTTGGTGATACCATTTGTTTTCTTAAAAATATATACTCAAACTAATGTTTCCAAGCACGATAAAATTAAAATTAAAATTAAAATTAAAATTAAAATTAAAATTAAAATTAAAATTAAAATTAAAATTAAAATTAAAATTAAAATTAAAATTGAAATTAAAATGAAAACTTAAATTTAAATAACAACAGACTAAATTTAGAGTTCAAATAAAATTAAAATTAAAATTGCCAAAAAAAAAATTTATATTAAATTTAAAATAAAATACTAAATAGTTTTCAATAAAAATAAAATGTAAAGCTTTAACTAAAATTGATTTAATTTTTTTTTTCATTTTCAGGTCCGATTTGGAACATTTGCGATCAGTTTTTATGGCTGTTGAAAATGGTGATCTGGGCATGTTGAAATCTCTCGGCATTAAGGACTCCGAACTCGGCGATGTGAAGTTCTTTTTGGAGAAATTAGTCAACACCGGCTTCTTAGACTGAGTCGCGCCAGATCCCGCTTCTGGATTTTATTATGCACACTCACAACCCATCAATCCAAATTTTTATTCGTATTTGGGCACACCCTATGACAACTACAATTACTAAATAGTTCTTTAGTGATGGTAGATGGTTGTAGAGTGACGCTTAATTCGCGAATAAAAATCACACTCATAAACATAACAAACAAAAACACACAAACATACAAGCATACAAGTTACAACAAAACTACAAATACAAACGCAGGTAGATACAGTGGTGTATAAAAAAAAAATAGCAAAAACACATGAAAATAGGCAGTTAGTTTGAAAAACAATTCTTTCTCAAAGTTTAAAGCAAAACAAAAAAAAAATTACAGTAAAACTTCAAGTTGTTTCATTCCCAGTTTCTTTTTTTTTCTTTGGTATTTGGGTTTCACAAAACGTCTTATTTTTTATTTCACTAATTTCTTTGAAGTCCTTATGCAAAGCTTTTATAGAAAACACATTAAATAAAATAACAAAAAAATTGCAAAAAAGAATATGTGACCAAAAAAAGGAAAGTTATTTTTCAAAATATTGTAAAAAAAAAATTAAGAGAGTTGACTAGGAGAGAGACGCAGATAGCAGTTCAGGATGGATGTTGGAAAATAAATAATGTGAAAAATCGCTTAGTTTTGCGAAGCAAGTAAATGCGTGTAGTGTTAGTAAATAAAAAAAAATGTTATGCCTGGTGTGCATATTTTCAAACAAACCACGAATGAAATGATATCATATATTAAAATATATTAAGTTAATAGCTATTGTTGTTGCTTTAGTTAACCATTCTTACATTTGCGCAATATATTTTTCCACTGCTCACTAAATGTTGCTTTCAATATACCTAAATATACATATTAACAGTGTTTAAAAAAAAAAACTATGCGCTTTTTCGAAAACTTAAATTTTTGAGAGAAGAGATTATTCAAATAACAACAACAAAAGTATGAAATATTCAACGGTATTCAGTGGTATCTCAATGTGTACATTTCAATTCAATCATATAAAAATAATAATAAAATGTGGAAGCAGGATCGATATGAAAACAATGAAACAAAACAAATAAAACTAAAAAAATGCATAAATTGAAAAATTAGAACACAAAAAATTGAGTTTAAAAAATGAATAAGCAGCATGAAAAATGCACAAATTTCATGCGATTCAGCAAAAAAAAAAAACTAATAAAAATAAATAAAAATCAAAAAATTAAAAAAAAATCTAAGTACAGTAAAGTGCAAAAATAAAGCACAGCAACAATAGAATTCAAAAACTCAAAAAAAAAAAAAAAAAATGNATTAAAATTAAAATTAAAATTAAAATTAAAATTAAAATTAAAATTGAAATTAAAATGAAAACTTAAATTTAAATAACAACAGACTAAATTTAGAGTTCAAATAAAATTAAAATTAAAATTGCCAAAAAAAAAATTTATATTAAATTTAAAATAAAATACTAAATAGTTTTCAATAAAAATAAAATGTAAAGCTTTAACTAAAATTGATTTAATTTTTTTTTTCATTTTCAGGTCCGATTTGGAACATTTGCGATCAGTTTTTATGGCTGTTGAAAATGGTGATCTGGGCATGTTGAAATCTCTCGGCATTAAGGACTCCGAACTCGGCGATGTGAAGTTCTTTTTGGAGAAATTAGTCAACACCGGCTTCTTAGACTGAGTCGCGCCAGATCCCGCTTCTGGATTTTATTATGCACACTCACAACCCATCAATCCAAATTTTTATTCGTATTTGGGCACACCCTATGACAACTACAATTACTAAATAGTTCTTTAGTGATGGTAGATGGTTGTAGAGTGACGCTTAATTCGCGAATAAAAATCACACTCATAAACATAACAAACAAAAACACACAAACATACAAGCATACAAGTTACAACAAAACTACAAATACAAACGCAGGTAGATACAGTGGTGTATAAAAAAAAAATAGCAAAAACACATGAAAATAGGCAGTTAGTTTGAAAAACAATTCTTTCTCAAAGTTTAAAGCAAAACAAAAAAAAAATTACAGTAAAACTTCAAGTTGTTTCATTCCCAGTTTCTTTTTTTTTCTTTGGTATTTGGGTTTCACAAAACGTCTTATTTTTTATTTCACTAATTTCTTTGAAGTCCTTATGCAAAGCTTTTATAGAAAACACATTAAATAAAATAACAAAAAAATTGCAAAAAAGAATATGTGACCAAAAAAAGGAAAGTTATTTTTCAAAATATTGTAAAAAAAAAATTAAGAGAGTTGACTAGGAGAGAGACGCAGATAGCAGTTCAGGATGGATGTTGGAAAATAAATAATGTGAAAAATCGCTTAGTTTTGCGAAGCAAGTAAATGCGTGTAGTGTTAGTAAATAAAAAAAAATGTTATGCCTGGTGTGCATATTTTCAAACAAACCACGAATGAAATGATATCATATATTAAAATATATTAAGTTAATAGCTATTGTTGTTGCTTTAGTTAACCATTCTTACATTTGCGCAATATATTTTTCCACTGCTCACTAAATGTTGCTTTCAATATACCTAAATATACATATTAACAGTGTTTAAAAAAAAAAACTATGCGCTTTTTCGAAAACTTAAATTTTTGAGAGAAGAGATTATTCAAATAACAACAACAAAAGTATGAAATATTCAACGGTATTCAGTGGTATCTCAATGTGTACATTTCAATTCAATCATATAAAAATAATAATAAAATGTGGAAGCAGGATCGATATGAAAACAATGAAACAAAACAAATAAAACTAAAAAAATGCATAAATTGAAAAATTAGAACACAAAAAATTGAGTTTAAAAAATGAATAAGCAGCATGAAAAATGCACAAATTTCATGCGATTCAGCAAAAAAAAAAAACTAATAAAAATAAATAAAAATCAAAAAATTAAAAAAAAATCTAAGTACAGTAAAGTGCAAAAATAAAGCACAGCAACAATAGAATTCAAAAACTCAAAAAAAAAAAAAAAAATAATGAAATAACAAACGCATAACCTTAAAAATCGCGCAGTAAAAAATGCACAGCTATTGAATGAAGTACAGAAGAGTGCAAAAATCGTGCAATGCAAAAAAAAAAAAAATGCAAAAAATGCAAGTCAAATATATCTATTTACGAATATATGAAACTAATGGCGTACAATTAGTATGTATGTATCTCACAATGGCTATCAGTATATACCTTCCAGTTAAAATAAAAATTAAAATGGTAACTGCAAATTTTATCGTTTACACATAACATATACCTTTTGTTCCCAATAGGAAAGTTGAACCGCTCTAAAGTGTATAGAATGAGTCATAATAATGAGTCTATACAGCTAAAATCAAGTAAATTAAATTTAAAACAATTTTCTTATAAATACGAAACATTTTTTTTAATTTTTCATAATATTTCAAAAAGCTTGTAGAAGTGTATTTTTAACGAAATCAAAAGTTTTTCTTCTTATTCTACGTGTATAGAAAATTTATGCAAGAAAAAACGAAAGTGTAATTTTAGCAACCCAAAAAAAAAAAAAACCCCAAAAAATTAGCAAGCCCTGCAGCTATTTAAAAACACCCGAGTTTTGAAATAATGAAAACTATTTAGCGTAACTGTACCAAAATTGAAAATAACATATATACATATATTTTAACGAAAACGTACATATATGCATTATAGAATTAGTTTTAGTGTGAGAGTCCAATAAAATATCAAAGTATTATGTACTTTTCTTTGAAGAACAATAATTGCGCGTATCTATGACAACTCAACTGAAATCAGCAAAGAAAAAATATAAAGAGTATGAAAATACGGTCTTTAAAATTTGATTTTAAAGCAAATTTACGAAAACATGTCCCGTTCGTTCGTTAGTGTAAAGTCTCACACCAAACATGAATGAAAGAAAACAACAAAGCAAGAACAAATAAACCTAAGCCCTGATTTAACCAAGAAACCAAAAATAAAACGGATGCGACAAATTCAAATTAGTTCAAAATTACTTTATAACATAAAAACCAAGTAATTAGGCTTCAAAAAAAAAAATAAAATAAAATAAAAAAAATAAAAAAAAACAAATCAATTCAAAAGTCAACACGAATTTGAATTAAACTAAAAGGCGAAAATTTTGACAGTAGTTACAGTTACTTATTTTGACAACTGCGACAGTTCAGCGTTCGCGCACGCGCACACAAAGCGACTGGTAATACAGTCGCTTTGAGCTTTACCGAACACTAACTGTGCATATTTATATGTATGTATGCTGTAATTTGTGAAAACTATTGCATATTGTAGTTAACAGAGTTAGTTCATTGTTTGTTATATGAAAAAAAAACAAAAGAAAAACAGCAAAACCTGAGGAATGAAAAATTAAAATTAATTAAAAATCACTAGACAAGTTTTTCAGCGCTAATTTTTTTTTTTTTTAGAAAGTAATGGCTGTTCTTTAATAATTTTCTTCCTTTTTTTAAGCTTTTTATTTAAGCTTGTATTTTTTATTTTTGTACAAAAAAAGTGCACAATTTCTGCGTGAAAGAATGCAAAACTTGTTACTGAAGGAGTGCTTGATGCCGTTAAAAAATCTCTGACCCAACTTGACAAACCTCTAGATTTTTATGGAAATCAGACAGTTTGTTGGTTTTGGAAATAATTAAAAACAAATAAATAAATTACAGTATTTTTTTGTAAATTCTATTATTATACAATTTTTTTCGTAACAGTAAATAGTTCAATTGCATTTAGTATTTTTTTCATTGTTGTTGGCAATATTGTACTTTAAGACGTTACATCGAAAATTCGATAAATTTAAAATGTTTTCACAAAATTTCCATAACCGCAATGTTGAGCTAAATTTTCCTGTTAGCGAAATCGGTGCGCTTCGGCGCCATGTTAACAAAACGAAATGAAATCGTTAGCATTGAAATACTCTTTGCTGTGATTTAACAGTACACTTCAATGTTAACGATTTAACATTATCTCTTAACGATTTAACATTAGCTGTTAACGATCTAACATTGGCAGTTAACGATTTAACATTAGCTGTTAACGATTTAACTTTAGCTGTTAACGATTTAACATTAGCTGTTAATGATCTAACATGAGCAGTTAACGATTTAACATTAGCTGTTAACGATTAACCATTTGCTGTTAGCGATTTAACATTAACGATTTAACATTAGCTGTTAACGATTAACCATTTGCTGTTAGCGATTTAACATGAGCAGTTAACGATTTAACATTAGCTGTTAACGATTAACCATTTGCTGTTAGCGATTTAACATAAGCTGTTAACGATTTAACATCAGCTGTTAACGATTTAACATTGGCAGTTAGCGATTTAACATTAACGTCAGCTTT